ACTTCCCCACATACATGCTCCCTCTCCCACCTGGGCCCTTCTTTCCAGACATCTCCACTGAGAGCTCTCTGGTGGCCTGCCAGTGCCCCTGCATTCCAACTCCTCTCTGATCACATTTTCTGTCTCCTGGCTTTACCTGAAGACTGCTCTCCTCAGGGGATTCCCTGCAACCCTCTCAGGTGTGGGCTGTTTTTTCTTTTTGGATCTTTTTTTTTTTTTGAGACGGAGCCTTAAGCTGTTCCCCTGGGTAGAGTGCCGTGGCATCACTCACAGCAACCTCCAACTCCTGGGCTCAAGCGAGTCTCCTGCCTCTGCCTCCCAAGTAGCAGGGACCACAGGCGCCCGCCACAACACCCGGCTATTTTTTTGGTTGCAGCTGTCATTGTTGTTTGACGGGCCCGGGCTGGATTCGAACCCGCCACCTTAGGTGTATGTGGCTGGCGCCTTAGCCACTTGAGCCACAGGCGCCGAGCCTTCTTTTTGGATCTTGAAGGAAACAGGAGTTTTCTTTTTTTTTGAGACAGAGCCTCAAGCTGTCCCCCTGGGTAGAGTGCCGTGGCATTACAGCTCACAGCAACCTCCAACTCCTGGGCTCAAGTGAGTCTCCTGCCTCCGCCTCCCAAGTAGCTGGGACCACAGGCGCCCACCACAACGCCCGGCTATTTTTTGGTTGCAGCCGTCATTGTTGTTTGGCGGGTCCGGGCTGGGGATTCGAACCCGCCACCTTAGGTGTACGTGGCTGGCGCCTTAGCCGGTTGAGCTATAGGCGCCGAGCCGAAACAGGAGTTTTCTAGGTGAAGTGTGACAAGACTATCCCAAGCAGAGAAAATGGGAATAAAAGCATGAAGGGAGTGACCACAGGGCAGGGTGAAGGGAGGGCAGGGGAATTCCAGAGGCTGGGACTAGGGTCTGTGAAAGAAGGGTAATAGAAGAGGCTGAGGAGGAAAGCAGGGCAGAATGTGAAGGCTTTTGAAGGCTCACGTGATTGGGTAATTGTAAGCAAGGGATTGGGGATTGAAAGCATTTGATTTGTGTTTTGGCAAAATCGCTTTGGCTTAAGGCTGGAGAATGGATGAGAGTGGGATTATTTAAGGCAGGGATTGGCTAACTATGGCTGGTGGGCCTGTTTTTGTACCAATCACAAGTTAAGAAAGCATTTTTAGGGCAGTGCTGGTGGCTCAAAAGGGTAGGGCGCCGGCCCCATATGCTGGAGGTGGCAGGTTCAAACCCAGCCCGGGCCAAGAAAAAAAAAAAAAGCATTTTTAAAAGGCTGAAAAACAAAATATTAATATTTGTGACACATGAAAAAGTATATGAAATTCAAATCTCAGTGAAATTCAAATAAAATTTTATTGGAACATAGCCATGCTCATTCACTTATGTACTATGGTTACTTTTTTTTTTGAGACAGTGTCTTGCTCTGTCACCCACGCTGGAGTGCAGTGGCATTATTATAGCTCATTGCAACCTCAAACTCCTGAGCTCAAGCAATCCTTCTGCCCCAGCCTCCGAAGTAGCTGGGACTATAGGCATGCACCTCAATGCCCGGCTAATTTTTGTAGAAATGGGATCTCACTATGTTGCTCAGTCTGGTCTCAAACTCCTGGCCTTGAGTGATCCTCCTGCCATGGCCTCCCAAAATGCTAGGATTATAGGGTTGAGCCACCACACATGGCCTATGGCTGCTTTTAACTGCAATGGCAGAGCTGAAGAGTTGTGCCAGAGACTGTTTTATATAAGAGTGCCTACCTAAAATCCTCAGTTTTGTCTCTTGGCCAGCAGAGTCTAAAATATTTGCTATCTGTCCTTTTCCACAAAAAATTTTGCTAACCCCTGAGTTAAGGGATTGTTTTAGCATTTTGGGCAAGAAGTCTGCACTAGGATAGTGGTTGTGGGAACAACAGAGAAAGCTGGATGAATTCGGGAACTGTTCAGGAAATAGAATGGGTACAGGGAGTACCAAGGAGTACCAAAAAGGAGAGTAAAACTCAGGGGGTAGGGAGGGACAGGGGCTGAGAATGGTTTTTAGTCCTATTTTTGTGCAATAGTCTGATTCCTGGAGTTATGCAGTTTTTGTGTGTTAAAAAAGATGCCAACAACAAAGATGTCAGAAGCAATAAGCTCAAGCCCTTTAGAGTCTGAGGCTGGTGTGGGGTACCTGGGAGTTCAAAAGGCTTTTGTACTTTAAAGGTGAACAGGCACCTGTCAGATTTCTGGTTGGGTCAGTGTGAGTTCTGTGAAATCTCAGCCGGGCTCCTAAGAATGAAACCAAGGATTCCACAAACCTGGCAGGCACTAGGAGAAGATGGAGCTGTCCCTAGATGCCAAGTTGCCTCTCTTCTGTCTCCTAGTTGGCGAGGTTGGCATGCTGGCCAAGAGGCAGGGCCTGTCTGTGCAGGTTTATAGTAATAGCCAAGTGAGCTGATCCTCCTTGGGCCTTATATTTCTGCTTTGGTGTGGGGCAGGAACAGTAGCCAAGACCACCTACTCTGTTATGTGTCCTGAGTTCTGTACTGTTGTCTGGGAAGCAGGCCCAGGCAGGTTCTGGGCAGGACTATTCCCATAATTACCAGCAGGTGGCACAAAAGTGATTCGGTGGGAATGGAGCAGGGGTCAGTGTGGGAGGAGAGAGGATCCTAACATGTTCCCCCTTCTCCAAGCCTGCTCCAACCTGGTGGTAGCCCTAGGGGAGGAGGTGGCATTCACAAAGCCACCTCATTCTTTCCCTACTTCCTGCTTAGGCACGAAACAGTCTTTGTTTCTAAAGCCAAGAAAGACTCCCTCAGGGGTTCAGTGTTTGGGGTGGACAGATGCCATGTCCAGCTACCTCTCCCTTCTGGCCCATGCCATTTCCTCCACTCCCCGGCAGCTGGGTCTGCAGGAATCTTGCTTCAGAATCCTGCAAGGCACAGACCTCATCTCTGAGCAGCCTTCCTGGAACACACCCTCTCTCACCAGGCTTGCTCTTCTCCGTTCCTTTAACTAATCTGGGGTAGAAGTTTTTTCTTTCAGGGCCTGGGCATAGGAGACTCTGGGTTCTTCATAACTCAAGCTGGGGGTGTAAGGAAGAGCTGGGTCTGAAACTGGCCCTAGTTTCTGGCATTTACCTGTGAGCAGTCTAGCAGTGGAAACACTGATTGGAGGGCCAGTGAGGTGCTTTTCCTAGTTCCTCTCATCCTCTTAGCTCTTCTGCCAGGTCTTGTTCCTCTTTCAGAGATAAGGACACTGATAATAAGAGACATGCCTAAGGTTGCTCAGTGAAAGAGATGGCAGGGAGGACCTGTGTCTGGGACAAGGAGTGGGTGTGACCTGCTAGCCCCATTCCTGATCTGAACACCAGCTTTGATTCTCCCAACTTCTGGCCTTCAGTACAGGTCAGGTTTATCTGACTCCAAAACTCCTGCTCTCCCAACACTGCTTGGCTACCTCAGTTCTGAGGCCCACAGGAGTCTCCAGGCTATGAGGGATCAGTGACCAGGGAGGCACCCTCTGGGGGTCTTGAGCTGACAACTTGTGTTGCTTGGAGAAGGGCATAGGGATTTCATCTTAGGGTCATTCCTATAGTGTTATGCTTCCTGCTGGCTCCTGGCTAGCCTGTCCAGTCTGTTTCCCCAGTGGATGCCCTTGCCCATAGAGTTGGAAGCTTTTTTTCCAAAGGCTTTTGGGAATCTCAACAACTGTGTGTGGAGTGAATCCCTACTCCTCTTCTGTGTGTATCTCCACTCAGGACCCTCTTGTGAGAGATTCCCAAACTTTAGCTTGCATCAGAATCGCCTGGAATTCTTATTAAAGCAGATGGCTGGGTTCCATTCTGAGAGTTTCTGGTCATCTAGGGTGACCATGAGAATTTACACATTTAACAAGTTCCAGGGTGATATTGATGTAACTGATTAGGAGCACTGTGAACTAAAAGATTTACTCAGCAGGGTTGTCCAAAGCCTGCATATTTCAAAGAAAGGACCTAGCTCCTGGGAGATAGACAATACTAAGCTCTTGGAATATCCTGCCTGGTGAGAGTGTTTTTGCTCCAGTTTAACTTCACAAAGAGCTGGAGATTGAGTAACCAAAGTCAGCCAGGTGGATGGTTAGCCATGCCTCCATGACCAACATTTAGTAAAAACATTGGACACTAAGGCTCTGGTGAGCTTTTTTGGTTGGTAGTATTTCATGTGTGTTGTCACACATCATATGGGGAATTCAGCACTGCTTGCAGACCACCGGGAGATGACAACTGGAATCTTGCATATGGTTTCTCCTGGACTCTACCCTTTGCACCATTGTTTTCTGTTGCTGTTTTAATTTGTACTCCTTCACTAGAATAAACTGTAACTGCAAGTATAACAGCTATGCTGAGTTGCATCCTTCTAGCAAATCATTGAGCCTAAAGGACCTTAGGGACCCCTAGTAACAGCCACACTTTGAGAACCACTGCTCTAGACTATGGAATTAATCTCTCTAGGATTCCATTGTTTTAGACTTTGGGGAATCCTCACCAATAAAGTATCTTATAACCTGGCCTAAGGGTTACCTTGATGGAACGTTTTTTAAAAATACCCCAAGCCTTGCATTTCCACAGTCCAGGGTCAGAGGAGGTTTGGAAGCCTGGGTGTTGCCCTGTGTGCTAACCCTGAGCAATCCTTCTAGGCTTCTGGGCCTTAGTCTCCCACCTCTAAATGAGGGTTTTGAGCAGTTCTCTTCTCCCTAGGTATGGCAGGGCCAACAGAGAATATGCAGGGATGTGGGCAAGGACAGTTTATTTTGCCTTATTGACCCATTTCCAAAGCCCAGGTCTGCCTGTTACAGCCCTACTCACCTGAGCCAGGGACCCCGTGATGCTGGAGCCCACAGGCTTTGGTAGATCCAGCCGCTCTGTGCTGCCCATCCTGGAACTACTTTCAGGGCTGCGGCCCACATTTTACAGTACATGGGCCCTCCCTGACCCATCCTGCCTTGGTCTGAGATCAGGGCCTTGAGCCAACACAGGGAGGAAGGCCCCTTAGTGCCCGCTGGTTATGTGGCTTTATTCACAGACTCAGCACTTGCTGAGCATGGAAGGATAGAACATCTGGGGCCAGGCTGGGCCTGGAGGGCAGGGTGGCTGGGAGGCCATGCATGGGGAGAAAGTGCTGGCTGGGCCAGGCCTGTGTGGGGCAAGGCTGGAGGCAGGCAGCATGCGGGAGGCCTGGCTGGGTCTGCACAGAACAGATCCATGTGAGCCAGGAGGGAGGGACTGAGGCTTTTCTGGGGCAAGGGGTGTGGGTGTGGGTGTGGGGCTGGCTAGAAAGCACCCCTGCCCCCTGAACCCAGGAAAATGACATGGTTGGACAGTCAGAACACCTGCAGCTGAGTTCTGCTGCTGCCTCCGGACTTGATGTGTGGCTAGCTAAGCTGGTCCCCTCTGGTATTGTTATCCTGCTTATATTTGGACATTTGCCTTGGGGTGACCCACATAGGGATGCTCTGGGGACATTTGTAAGGAGGCTGGACAATCCTGGGGAGTGTGCCTGGGGCCCAGCTGGGCGGGGTCTGCCTGTGGAAGGAGTGGATCCCCAGCTCCCTGTGATGCCAAGCTTTTCTTTCTCAGGTGTTGGTGTCAGTTCTGGACTGTGGCCCCCAGAGGGCGCTGTCTCACACCGCAATGTGGGCCACCACTGAGCCAAGGAAGACTAAAGTTAAGCCTGTTTCTCCTGGCCCGCCCTGCTGGCTCCTGACTTCCTGCCTAAACGCAAACAAGGAGCCCAAAGACCGGATCCTCCTCCCGGGCCTTCTTCCTGGTGAAGAGCCCAATCCCACCCAGCAGGGAACAGAAAAACCAGTTCCCCAGGTTTCACTCCCTGGCTGGGAATAGCAAAGTTTGGAAAGTTGGCAGGGGCTCTCTGGGCTGTCCAGGAAGGTGACCTAGGGGCCTGGGAAGCCAGGTGAGGCCTGACCCGGGCCCTGGAGCTGAGGATGCAGCCTCTGCCCGCTTTCCGCCGGCCTTTCCCAGGGACTTGGGTGCAGGGGTGCAGGAGAGGGGCCATCAGCATTGGCGGGAGGGGGTGCGGTGCACAGAGCCTGGGCGCTTGGGAATCTTGCGCCAGCGTCTCTTGTCCCAGCGGCAGAGCAGCAGTAGGCGGAAGGTGTCCCGGAAGGCTTTGTTGCAGAGTGCGTAGCACATGGGGTTGATGGTGCTGTTGACGTAACACAGCCAGTAGCCCAGCTCCCACAGGGTCTCAGGGACACAGTCCTTGCAGAAAGTGGACACCAGCACCATGATGTTGTATGGTGTCCAGGTGAGGATGAAGGCCAGCAGGATGGCACTCAGGGTCCGAGCTGCCTTCTTCTCCTTGACCAGTGAGAAGGTCTTCCGTTTGGCCAGCTGCTCCTTCCCACGAGGCTTCTGGCTCTTTCCTGCTCTATCACGCCCTTTCCTGGTTGGCCTCTTGACTGTATTCGGGGAGCTTCGGGGGGGCTGCTTGGTGGGGGCCTGTGCCTCGGGGTCCACCATAGGCATCTTGATTACCACTTCAGAGCCCGGCTCCTCACCCTCTGAGGATGTGAGGGACTCCATGGAGCCTTCATCCTCTTCCTCTTCCTCTTTCCAGCTATAGGACTGCAGCAGCCTTGGGGCCCGGCAACAGCGACAGCAGCGGCCCGGAGGAGTGTCTGGTGAGCCCTCAGCCCCTGGCTGAGATCTCTCTGAACTGCTGCTGCTGCCACCCCCTTTGCCTGGTGTCTCAGAGCCCTGAAGGGCTGCCAGCTCCCGTGCCCGGTTCTCCGTCTCTCGGTAGATGCGCCAGTAGAGCGTGCACATGACCGTAACGGGGAGGTAGAAGGCAGCCATGGCTGTGCCGAAGGTGATGATGGGCTGGGAGAGGAATTGGATGTAGCACTGCCCGGCCAGCACCGTCCGTTCCCCTACCAGGTACTGCCAGAAGAGGATGGCCGGGGCCCAGAGCACGAAAGAAACCAGCCAGGCCAGGCCAATCATCAGAGCTGCCCGGCGGGGTGTGCGCTTGGCGCGGTAGCTCAGGGGCCGGGTCACGGAGAAGTAGCGGTCGAAGCTGATGAGCAGCAGATTCATGACGGAGGCATTGCTGGCCACATAGTCCAGGGCCAGCCAGAGGTCGCAAGCCAGTGTGCCCAAAGCCCAGTGGCCCATGAGCAGGTAGGTGGTGTACAGGTTCATGGAGAAGGTGCCAATGATGAGGTCGGCACAGGCTAGGCTCAACAGGAAGTAGTTATTAACTGTCTTGAGCTCTGTGTTGACCTTGAAGGAGATGAGTACCAGTAGGTTGCCCGTCACTGTGGCCAGGGACAGGAGGCCTGTGGTAATCCCAATGAAGGCCACTTGCCAGGGACCCTTTCCTGGTGCCAGGACAGTGATGTTGGGGCTGACGGCAGGTGGGGCTGAGGTGTTCATGGTGGCCAGGTGGGGCAGGGTGGGCAGCCTCTTCCTCTAGTCACCCTATAGGGCTTCCTCAGAGGAAGGTCATCACCTGAAAAGAAAGGACATGGGCTTTGGTGGGGCCACTGGGGATCTCTGATGCCCTGAGGGAAAAGCTAAGGACATAGCCCCTGCCTTCACACAGCTTTGGGCCAGACAGCATCATCCTCACTTTCTGGTGCTCACACATGATCATTTATAAAGCACTTTCGCAGCCACAAGATTTGCCAGCAGCACAGGGTGGCTTTGGAATTCAGGGATTTTAATTTTTTAATTTTTAATTTAATTTAATTTTTTTGAGACAGAGCCTCACTTTGTTGCCCTTGGTAGAGTGTTGTGGTGTCATAGCTCACAGCAACCTCAAACTCTTGGGCCTAAGCAAGTCTCTTGCCTCAGCCTCCCAAGTAGGTGGGACTATAGGCGCCCACCCAGCTATTTTTTTAGAGACAAGGTCTCACTCTGGTCTTGAACCTGTGAGCTCAGGAAATCCACCTGCCTTGGCCTCCCAGAGTGCTAGGCATGAGCCACCATGCCTGGGAAGAAATTCAGGGATCTGAGTCCTTACACAAGCTTCATCATTCAGACACTGAGTTTAAATTTTCTTATTGAGAAATTCCTATCTTGCTTAACTTATGTGGTAGGAGTTGAAAGGTGACTCACTTCGTATACAGTTCTCCCAGATTTTCAAAGCATTTCACTCAATTTTATTAAAGTGCTCATTTACTGAGTAGTTACTACATCTCAGACACAGTGCTAAGCCCTTAATTGAATTATCTCATTTAACTGTGGTATATCTCTAGAGTGAAGGTCTCTCATTACATCTCACTGTTAGGCAATGGTAGCTCTGATCAGCTGCAAAGCTTGGCCATGGTGACGTGGGTTGTACCCACTTTCACTGGGTATGAGAATCCCACTCCACTGGGAGTCTTCCATCTAATGAGAGATGGGAGGAAAGGGGAGGGCTCCAGAGAAGAGAAGGGGCACTGTGTGTGCATGTATGTGTGTGTTTGTGTCTGTACATTTTTCTGTGCATGTGGCTTTACATACATACATGAGGAAGGTGGTGTTTGCAGCTGAATTGGAACCCTCTATGACAGTGATTTTCAACTGGTGTGCTGTGAGAGTATCTTAGGTGTGCCATGAAAAAATTTTAAGATCATTAATTAAATTGTTTGTGAAAGAAGTTCAAAGCACAGTAAATATATTCTATTTTTTGCTCTTTTTTTAATGAATATAAAAGTGTGTTGTGGAAATTTAACTATAGGTTCAAGTGTGTTGTGAGATAGAAAAGGTTGAAAAATACTGCTTTATGAGGACAGCAGGGAAAGTTGTGCTGGGCCTGGCTGTTTGCTTGGTGGTAAGAAGGTTCGGGGTAAAAGGAGATCTCGGGGACAAGGGCCCCAGCTACTACATAAGTAGGGATCTGGCCCCAGATGAGATGTGGGCAGGGCAGCCTCCCTCCCTCTTGCAGTCTGTTCCTGGGCCCCTGCTGAGTAGGGGGAAGCAAGAGGAAAGGGAAGATCCTCCAGAATTTTCTTGGATCTGGGGTCTGGCCCAGGCACTAAGGCTGGGTAAGGAGAAAGGGAAGCCAGGACCCTTTGCAACTTTTACTGGCCAAAGTGAAGCCACAATGAAGGGAAAGGGTCTCAGCCAGCTCAGCTGTGGCCTTGCTGCCTTGTAATTTAGTAGGTCACTTTCTGTTCTGGGCCTTAGGCATTCATCTGTTCATTGAAGAGATTGAGGCCTCCCCCCCAACTCACAGTTGTGGTCTTCAGGGGCTATGTTGTTGGAAAATTTCCAAGGGAGTGATGTATAGCAGGGGCCCACTAACCTCTGGTATTCTTGGGGTACCTGGCCTGTAAAAGACTGAATGGCCTGGGTGCTGTGTGGTTGAGGGTGAACTGTCAGTGTGTCAAAGCAGCTCTCGGCGTAGTGAGTTCAGCATGGGACAGAACGAGCAAGGACTGTGTCTGTCAGTGTATCTGGGACAGGTTGCACATCAGGGGCCATGTGCAGCATCATAGTTAAGGAACCTGGGCAACTCTGGAGCCAGACTGTCTGGATCTGAATCCAGGCAACACCATGTGTGATAATTTTTTTTTCCAAGACAGAGTCTCATTTTTTTTGTCCTTGGTGTACTGTGGCATCACAGCTCACAGCAACCTCAAGTTTTTTTTTTTTTTGAGACAGAGCCTTAGGCTGTCACCCTGTCCAACTCCTGTGCTCAAGCAAGTCTCCTGCCTCTGCCTCCCATGTAGCTGGGACTATAGGTACCTACCACTACGCCTGGCTGTTTTTTGGTTGGAGTTGTCATTGTTCTTTGAGGAGCCCAGGCTGGATTCTAACACGCCAGCTCAGATGTATGTGGCTGGTGCCTTAGCCACTTGAGCCACAGGTGCCGAGCCAACCTCAAACTCTTGGGCTTAAGCGATTCTCTTGCCTCAGCCTACCAAGTTGCAGGAACTACAGGCGCCTATCACAATGACCAGCTACTTTTTTTTTTTTTTACTTTTTTTTTTTGCAATTTTTGGCTGGGGCTGGGTTTGAACCTGTCCCCTCCAGTATATGGGGCCAGCATCCTACTCCTTGAGCCATAGGCACCGTCCTGATCAGCTATTTTTTAAGAGATTGGGGGGAGGGTCTTGCTCTTGCTCAGGCTGGTCTTGAACTTGTGAGCTCAGGCAGTCCACTTGTCTCAGCCTCCCAAGTGCTGAGATTACAGGTGTAAGCCACTGTGCCCAGCTGTGTGATAATTTTTAATTTTTTTTTCTTTTAGACAGAGACTAGCCATGTCATCCTGAGTACAGCATTATGATGTCATAGTTCACAGCAACCTCAGACTGTAGGGATCAAGTGATCCTTTTGCCTCAGCCTCATGAGTAGCTGGGACTACAATGCCCAGCACTATCTATGCCTGGCTATTTTTTAGTAGAGAAAGGGCCTTGTTCTTGCTCAGGCTGGTCTGAATTCCTAAGCTCAATCAATCCACCCCCTCGGCTTCCCAGAGTGCTAGGATTATAGGCTTGAGCACAGAATTTATTTTCTTTTATTATTATTATTTTTTTGAGTCAGAGTCAACTGGGCTTGAGTGCTATTGGCCTCAGCCTAGCTCACAGCAACCTCAAACTCCTGGGTTCAAGAGATCCTCCTGCCTCAGCCTCTGGGTACCTGGGACTACAGGGCCGGCCACCATGCTTGGCTAATTTTTCTATTTTTAGTAGAGATAGGGTCTTGCTTTTGCTCAGGCTGGTTTTGAATTCCTGCGCTCAAGTAATCCCCCTGCCTCAGCCTCCCCGAGTGCTAGAATTACAGGCATGAGCCACTACGTTTGGTCAGAGTGTGTGATTATTGCTGGTGACATAATTTCTATATGTCATGGTTTCCTCAACTGAAAAATAGGGATGATACCTATTAGGGCTACCATGGCTAACGCCTCCACGCATTGTGAGGACTAAATCAGCTTAATCCTGGGAACAGCGCCTGGTACTTGCAGCACTAGGTTCTCATTAACTCTCAGTATGTAGCAATAAAAGTCCATTCCTGTGTAGGAATGTCTACTTCTTGTATTAAAAATCTCTGATAGGACAATAATAGCAACTAATAATAATGGTCACTGCTGTTATTTAGTGCTCCCGGAGTCATTGCTAAAGGACTTATCTGCATAATCTCATTTAATCTTAACTGGAACCTGTTTTCTCCATTTTATAGCTAAGGAATTTGAGGCTGAGAAAAGCAAGAGAATTTGCATAAGATCATGCAACCAGGATTTGAGCCCAAGCAGTTTGTTCCAGTGAAACTTCATTTACAAAAACTGAAGGTCAGCCTTAGGGCTGTAGTTTGCCAATTGAATTTTTAAGAATATTACTTTAAAGTTTGATTTGTCTTGATTACTGAGTTTTGCTGTACCAACGAGGCAGCTGGTGGATGCGACCCTTGAGAATTTGCCCTATATAACTCTTGTCACTTTGGTTTTCTGCACTCATTGCTATTTAATGCTCATTTCACAAAGGGAGCAACTGAGGCCCAGAGAAAATGGGGTAGAAGGGATCATTTAGTCCAAGGTCTCCTGGGTCCTTGACTAGGTGCTGTGTGCCATGTCACACACACACACACACCCCTCCACCCCCAGTATCCTGGAACAACTCTGTAACCCTGGACCCTGAGCAAGACCTACAAAGTCTCTTTGGACAAGAGGAGGTTGATGGCTTGAGAGGCTGCACCCTACCCAGCTGCAGGGACCTCTCATCAGCTTGTGCAGTCATCAAAGCTTGGCTCCTTGTTCCACAGCAGCCAGGACTAGGGCAAGGTGAGTCAGGCACTTGTTTCAAGTGCAAATTTAAGGGGTATCTTAAACTCAGTACTTGAGAAGATATTTTCATGCAATATTTATAAAAACGAAATTAATGCATAAAGTTCATGATGAACAGCATCTTAAACAAAGACAGGCTCCAGCCCTGCACTTGCACAGCCTTCTCTCACTTGCTTCACTCTGATCCTGGCCCTGTTTCCAATAAAACTTTATTTGCAAAAACAGATGGCCAGCTCACGGGCTGTAATTTGCTATTTGACTTTAAAAAAAAAAAATATATATATATATATATATATATTTTTGAGACAGGGCCTCAAGCTGTCCCCCTGGATAGAGTGCCATGGCATTACAGCTCA